CCTGGTACATAGTAAATGCTCTATAAATATTTGCTGAATGAATGAATAATTAATCAATGATAACATAAGTTTACAATTAGCAAGTTATCAAGAGGCCTACGAGAATTTTTTCACAAAATCTTGGTGATGGGTACAGCGTCTTCTCTAACACATGGGAGCGTTAGTCAGAAAAGCTTTAACACCAGGTGGCCTTGGATTGCAAGTGCAGGCTCCACTATTTCTTAGCTGTGTGATAGTGGGCATGTCACTAAACCTCTCTGAGTGTGAACTTCTGAATCTATACAATGGAGCTAATAATACTTGCCTTACACCTTAATTTTGAAGATTGGCAATAATGTTTATAAAGAGCTTGACACACACACACTGGAATCAATAGATGGTGATTATTTTAATGAGAGGGAATGCTGCTTCTCATAAGCAAGTGAATCCTTTTGTCCCAGGAATAGGAAGGCTCTGCCAACACTGGCCAAGGGCAGGACTGCCATCAGCTAAGGTAGGGAAGGTTCTCATTTTCACTTTCAAAGTTAAGAGAATGGCACAGATCTAAAGTAGAAAGGAACCAGCAGCACATGTGTTTAAATATTCATAAGGGCTGGAAATGTCTTACTCCTTTCGTTTTCTCTGCCATCTGCTTTTGTTTCTTTTCTTTTCATTCTTATGCCACAGCTGCAAATGAAAACAACCATACAATAACTCAAGTTAAATAAAAAAAAATCAAAATAAAAACAATCTGAGGGGTAAAAAGAGAAGATGAATTATAAACTTTTTCCCTGAGCTCATAGACTACGAAAGCAAGAAAAATGTTTGGTGTGAGTTAAACCCTCTGGAAACCAAAATCCATGTCCCACGTTTATAGTAACCACGATAAGAGCAATCACCATTCACTAAATGGCTCCTGTGTGCCCCTTGATGACCAGTATCTCTAATTCCTAAAGCTGTCTTTGAAGTAGGTAAATTAAACCCATTTTACAGAAAAGAAACTGCAGATCAGAGGGGTAAACTAGATTTTTTTTAATGGTTACACAGCTAATAGAAGATGAGACTGAGGTGTGAACCCAGGTCTGTCTGGATTCAAAGCCCAGGTGCTTTCTCTACCACCCTCTTCAAAAATGGGAAGGGACTTGAAAAAATTAAGTTGGGAAATATTTAGGGCAGACCATTTGTGCTAAACCAACTTATTCAGATAATTAAAATCCGTGATTATAGCTCTAATTAAAGTTAACTCAGATAATTGCTTGTTGTATTTGTGAATGTGCAATTAGCGTCTTCCACATAATTGCGGGGTTTTCAGCATCAGACTTTCTATTTACTCACTGCATCCCAGAGCTTTGTTCCACTGGCTTCTGTTCTACCAAAGACTGCATGACAGCGCTTGGGGTCTCCGAGCTCAAGGACCATGACCTGTCATACCCACAGCAGGGTCTGGGCTCAGCCCCATTGAATGTCTTTGTCCCAAAGTCAATGAACACCTCATCTTCAAGTGCACTGTAAAAAGCTCTTACAGCCCACACTACACTGTTGTCCTGAAAACTCTGAGCAGCACGAACCTGAAGAAAAACTGGCAGCAGTGGTCTTCATGTGTTAATTACACTTGCGAAGTCTATTATGCATAGAAAGGGCACCTGCTGGCAGTGAAAATGACTAGAATCTGCCCTTCCTGTGCAGTGAGTAAATTGAGAGTTCATTTCTACAGGAGATAATAGTTTTCAGATTCCATTTCGTGTATCCCCTGCATGGGGACGTACTTAACATTTAAATCATCTGCAGAGGAACAAACCTCCTTCAAATTTACATGTTTCAGGCTCCTAGCACTTTACTTAAAATGCTAGTTATCCCTGCTGGCTCTTACCACCAAGGATTAAACTCAACGTGGTGAAAGTCACCGAGCACAATAGAGTCAAGTTATTAGCGTTGACTCAAATTTCATGACATTTGCAGTTTCTGACCAAAGCAGTGGTAGTAGGTTGGAGGTGATCATCAAGCCCTGAATTGAGGATCTGCTTTTCCTCTTGGGGCCTTTTATTGCATCATTCTTTCGCCTTGCCGTTAATCTGCAGATACCAATCCCCAACGGCCTATAACCATCCTTTGGTCAAGTGTCAAAAAGTTCTTTCATGAAAACAAGAGACCAGGAAAAAAACGCTATCACACAAACAGAAACTTCCAAGATGGAACCTAATCACAAAGCTCACTCAGGCTCAGAAACATACAAGACTTAACTTTGATTTTCTGGAGTGGAAGTTTGGGGTAACAGGGCTTAGCAGCTTCCTTGACAAGCCTTCCTTTCTAAGTTAGAATTGGCAGGATCATTGTGCTCGGGCAGGCTGGTGACACAGTTCTGGATGGTGCTAGACTTAGATGGGGTGTTGAAAAGGGGATCTCAGATCAGCTTCATAGTAAAGAGTCAAACAGCTAACAAATCCCCTAAGCAAAGAAGAAAGGAGGGCTGGGATCTGAGATGGCAGCTGGAAAAAAATGGGCTAGAATAAAACACTGATTTTTCTTTAAGTACATCTTTTCATTTTATAAAAATTACACTTTCTTCATTAAAATACCTAAAATTATCAAAAATAAAATATAAATCATACAGATACAGAATTCCTCTCCCTCTTCCCCATCACGAATCACTGTTAACATTTTGGTGTATTTCCTTCTAGATTTCTGCCTCTGTGTGTGTGTGTGTGTGTGTGTGTGTGTACACATATTTAATTGTTGTGTTATATACACACACACAATTTTGTTTTCATAAAAATGGAATCATACAGTACACATTACCTACATTGGGGCAAGTTACTAAATCTCTTGTGCCCTTTGTTTATCGGTCTGTGAAATGGAGTCAGTAATACCTGCCTTATAGGGTTTCTGGAAGAACTAAAAGGGGTCACAGATGCAAAGGAGATGGTCCAGTGACTGGCGCATAGGCGAGACTCAACACTGGCAGCTACTGTGATCACTAATGTTACTGACAGAGCATTTTTCCCACACTCTCCACAGTTCTGGGAATGAACGCTGCTGGGTTTAAACTAGCTAACAATTTAGCAGCCAAAACTTTCCCAATAACAGAAAGCTAAAGTTGTATTATTACCAATCCCTGCATACAGAAACCCCTTGGCGTTCCTATCTAAAGCACAGCATGGAGACACATAGGTGAGTCTCTTCCAGAGGGGACCCTGAGGATCCCCTTAAAGCACACGTCTGCGTGAGTGTGCAGGAGTTACGAGTCCCCCTGCGTATGTAAGGGAGTATGGGGGCCATGGGTCTGTGTAAGGCTATGTGCCTGTGAGAGTGTTGTATACGGGG